GGGAAAGAGGGTCAGACCCGTTATGTAACCTTGTGTTTATTTTTTATTTTTATTTTTTTAATTTTTTTTTTCGGCTAAGGTATACAGGTTGTGGCAAGTGCATTTGTTCTCACCCTGTCTTTATTTAATTCAGTACGTTCCCGAGAGGTTCTTCCTCCCCCCCACCCCCCATCCCGAACCTTGCTGTATAAAATGAATGTTTCTGCACTGAACTACCAAAAAAAAAAAAAAAAGCCCCATCTCTCCCCCAAGAAAACACAGAGCAACTGATCAGCCTGAACTCATTTTATCCTAAATTCTGAATGACACACACTGGAGGCCGTGGGTAAACACCTCACTTTGCAATCAGAAATGATTAGACGATTCGGGGTAAGTTTCCTTTACGGGTTCCCCCCTCACCCCATTTTCCAAATATCACGATTTCCCTTTCTGGAGACAAACCAGATGCCAGATAATCACACAGATAAAGCTTTTATAATAAGGCTTAAACCAAGACCTTGCCTAGATATTTTTAGTTTGTTGCCAAGGTAGCACTGTGAGAAATCTCACTTGAATGTTATGTAAGAGGTGAGACACAACAGTCTGACTAGGAGTGAATAAGTATCCTGGGTCTGTTAGTCAGTTTGGTGCATTTGCTGCTGCTGTTGCTACTGTTTGCCTCAAACGCTGTGTTTAAACAACGTTAAAAAAAAAAAATCTTACTAGCCTACAGAGTGGCTGTATGTAAATAGTTGTTAATACATCCAATTAATGATGTCTGACATGCTATTTTTGTAGGGAGAAAATATGTGTTAATGATATTTTGAGTTAAATATCTTTTGGGAGGATTTGCTGAAAAAGTTGCACTTTTGTTACAATGCTTACGCTTGATACAAGCTTATGCTGTCTTAAATTATTAAAAAAAATAAATCCTGTCTGCAAGAAACCAGCTGTTTTAGAACAGTTTAGTATGTGATATACTAGAAATCAATCTTTATATTCAGTATTTTCCAGCACTCCATGAATTCTATTATCTAAATATTTCCACACTATTTTGTGATTAAAAAAATTCTTACTAAGGAATAAATACTTTAATACACAAAATGGGTTGTCTACTAATTAAAAATCTTACAATAATACATCATAATGGGTGCACTGAGCTTCAAAATGTATAATTGTGTGGCCGGAAATAATCATTTAATGCCTCTTGATATTTTTAATCTGGGTTTGAATTTGCTTGGTTTCCTTTAACTCACTTTAGCAAACTGTATTTTAAGAGATGCCTGTGGAACATACACCTTTCTTCTTGACATTTACTTCTTTTCCTCTTCTTTTTGCAAAATATTTATTTTACCTTTAAAATTAACACTTTACACTTCTGGTGCTGCATGTAAGCTATTCTTGCTCACAGTGAGCAAACATTGTGATTTTTGTGACAGTCTAATGATACACGTACCATAAACTCTGGGGGAATTGCGTATGTCCCAACCTGGAACTCCTGTAAGAAAATTGAATGTTTTGGGGGGTGGGGGAAGAAGTGAGCGTAGAGGATAGAGTGGTGGAAACAGGCAAGGAATTCATGGCCTGGAAATACAGCACTCTAAAGACTTTCACAGATTTGATGTTTGAGCCGCGGATCACCTTTCCTTTCAAAAATTCTTCCTGTTCCAGAGAAATAAAATAAAGAAAACCCCCGAACAGTAGCCGATGTTTATGTAAGAGAGAAATATAAAGGGAGTGTTTCGTGCTCCCTCTACTGGTTCTTCGGTGCCAGTGAAAGTGTATCCACAGCTGCCCGGCGAGTTGAACGAAGCTGGAACACCAACGCACCCGAGAGAAAGACCCACGTTGCTTCCCACAGCCCTTTGAAATGTCGGAGGAGGAAGAAGCTGGGTGAAGACTAAACTCCCTTCTTGAAGTGCTCAAATGGGATTGTTAAAAAATAGGTATACGCCATTTTTCGTATCCAAAAATTAATTCCTATGAAAAACAGATAAAAAAGGTACAATCTAGCTGTGCAATTACCAATGGACACGCAGAAGTGCGGCTTTTAATGTCTCTTGAGATTTTTTTTCATAAAAGTATTGCTAATGGGCCAAAGGCAGCTACGTTACATCAGTACACCTGTTGAAGCCAGTTACTCATAAGCTGGATTCAAAATTTGTCAAAGTTAATGGAAAAAAAACTACCACTGACTGCAGTAGACCTTGGATGCTCTTCTACACCTTGGGTTACCAGAGGCATGAAAGTGAAGTAGGTTCAGCCCCTCAACTCTGTAACTCGCCAACCACTTTAATTTGACCTGCATATTTAAACAGCTTAACACTTGCTACGTAGACAGAGTCACACTGGGGTGAGCGCGCTTACATGCTCCAGCTCCTCACACCAGGGAAGGAATCAGCCTTGTGAAGGAGTGACGTCCTTCCTATCATTTTACTATATGCACCGCAAGGGCAGCCGTGAGCCCTTTTGAAAAAAATCATAGCCATCACGAACCAAGTTAGGTGGCTTGAACCCAGAGCACTGGCCAGGCTTTAGGTCTTTTTCAAACTCCTAAGTCTTTGGGAATATGAATCAGTTTAGATTTCATTGGGCGGTAAACGTAGATCCTTTTAGGTTTTTAACAAGTTCAGTATTTTCCATGCACAATAACAGGAAGGCTTCTTTTTATTAGCCCCTAAATCAAATACACCAAAAGATTTCACGCCAGGTTATAGCATCAGCGGAGTCTATTAAATTTTATTACATAAAACATAAGGACAAAATATGAGTGTTCAGATAATACCAATGCCCAATAAAAGCAAACAGGTGAAAAAAATAAAGGTTTGTAATTGAGGCTGATAACCCACTGCTGTTTGGGGGCAAAAGGCAAATGACAGGAGGGACCCTAAGAGTCAGTTTTAATTATTACATTCTAGGCTTCCTCAGTTCCCTTTGGAGCCTAAGCCAAACTGTATGTTTCATATTTTCTCAAGGTTAAAAAAACATAAACAATGG